CAGTGATACCACTACCGCACCAGCTATGACGAATTCTATAACTGCATTACACGATGTACACGTCTCGAGTTCGCCTGAAGAGTGCAGATTATCTACCTACCATCTTATCTACTCGCAGGGATTTTATTTTCCACTACCATAGCAAGCGTCGGGGTCAACTTGCAAAAAGCAGGAGTCAAATTGTGGCCGGACAGGTGAGCAGGGGGGCTTGCCTTAAAGGGGCATCCCGAACTGCACCGATCAACCACTTCGGACAATCGGCTGAAGCAGCCTGTTTGATATAAATGGAAACGCTAGACTGTGTCAACTGCAAAAAATAAGTTCTTTAAATTGATTTGGGTGCCTTTAAAACTGCAACTTAATAGAAAATATTTGTTATGAACTGGCATGACAGTCAAAAAGAAAGCGTTCGTCATTTCAAAATAATAGCAAGTTATGGCACTAACCTCAATAATTGCAGCAGCCATAGCTTCGGCGTTCGTTTGTGGCATTTCACCGCTCTCGAAGTATTTTAACCGGTCTTCGACCTGCTGCCGCAAGTGTTTTCCATAAACACTACATAAGATGTCGCTAAAGCAGTCTATCCTGGTGGCGAGAGCGCACTTCGCCGCCAGAAAACGGGAAATACGACCTTTATTCTCCTTCGCGGCACGGCCGATAAAAGAACTGTGGAAGATCAGCCCATACTTTGGTGTTCGTCCGCGCGTACGCAGAGCCCTAAACAGGGCCTTCTCAGCGCCTAAAATCTGAATTGTGGAGGCCGGGAACTTCGCCAAATTAGTAAGTGATCCGGCATGGGATATGAGTCGAGCGGCGACTTGACTCCCAATAAGGGTATTGAGGTTAGGAGCGACACCGGACAATTTGGACACTAGATAGTCGTATGCCTTCGTTCGACGTTCCAAAAATGATTTGATGCGATCCGTAAAAAGCTTCAAGTTTTCAATATCTTGGTCCGTCACATCAAAGCCTACAAAATATTACGCTTGGAAATTTAGCGTACCCATAGAAGTTCTCGCCGCCTCAACGATAGCCTTGGCTTTCTCACGATCCTGAATTATATCCTCGATCTCTTGCAGGCGGTCTTCAGTAGTTTCCTCCCGGGACCGCAAGAGATTTACCAGTTTTATGTAATTTGCGCTTTCAGGTACAATTTTCATCAATTCCGGAAAATGATACGAAAACCATTCTTTAATGCGCATTGAAAATGTGTTTATATCTTTGTCCATTTGGTCTAACAAGCTGATTGTCTGGATGACCATATTGTCGGCCCTACAAAATATAACGGTTTAATTGATGCCTTGCCTGTTAACGTTAAACTTCACTTTGGCGCGAGAATAACTATGACCAAGACCAATTTGCGCTTGTGATTCTGCAAAGTGCGACAGCTCGGCAATGTAAAGAGGGAAGAATTGTCTAATCTTGCGGAATATTTCCGAAGCCATTGATTCAGATGTACATTGTATATTCTCTGGCAATCCAACTTCGGGAGACTTGATTGCATCAGCCAGCCTACGATCAGCGACGCAAAGCATAATATGTTTTCCCTCATTCAGATATGATAACAAAAAGGATTGAAGGTCATCGTGCACCAGTCCCTCAGAAACTGAGTTGCAATTTTCCAATGCATTTTCGGCTGATGTAAATGACACAAAGCCACGAAGCTTGAAAGACTGTGAAAATGTCTCGTAGTCAGCTGACACTTCGGGGATGGCATCAACCACATCGGACAATTGATGCATTTTTGTGGACAACAGGGCATACCCAGATGCATGTTCGAAGAGGAAATACACTTTTTGCTAGGAGAAAAAAAGATGAGAGAAAAGCATGCTCATACCTTCATCTTCGTTCGAATAATACAGGTTATTAAAACAAGCGCTGTTATAGGAGATGGTTCGTTGTGATAGTTAGGTTATTCTATCCACTGCCTTGTTCCGTACTTTTTCTGCGATCACTTCATAAGTTTAGAAATGAATCCCACAATTAAAGTCTTGTAATTATTGAACTTTTCAACTTGATAGACCAAAATTGTCAACCTAGGCCACTGCAACCACCCTGATAGCAATGTTCTAGGTGCAAACGATCTACTGGTCATAGGTTGTGCCAAAGGGTCTAAGGGAATTGACCCCTAGACCCTTTAGTACGACATATGACCAGTAGACCCTTTACACCTAGAACATTGCTATCAGTGTAGTTCCAGAATATCCAGTGGCTTTTCTGTCTGAGTGTGTATGCCTGTGAAGACCTAGAATAATATGACGGTGTTTAACTAACGTTTAAATGCTGATAAGGTTACGGCCAGTCTGCCAGTATACAGCATCTTTAGAGAAAGACAGCAATTTCAGGATTATTTCATGTGTCAATTGAAACACTGAGCATCTCTGGTGGAGCTAAATCGATGACTAAATTGGTGAAAAAACAATAATTTCAAGAGAAAATCCTGCAGCAAACTGCCATATTTCTTGGAACAAGCTTATCAGAATTAATATAATTTTCCATAGGTGCTTCAATTTTCAGGACAATAAAACCTGGTTTCGGTATAACATATAAGAACAAACTCCTTATCTTGCACACTATTTACTAAGCATAACACAAAAGCAGAGCCAATATCTGAGTGCAATAGGAGGGTTTGTTTTAAGTCTCTCCCCGTTTTCCAAGGGTTTTGACGGTGCCCAAGAGGTGTCTTACCAATAAATTTTATTATTATTACTTGATTCATGGTTCACATGCCCTAAGTCCACAAACATATGCAACGACTTGCTCAATCCGTATTCGTTGCTGAGGCTCAGACTCACCAAAGCAAGTTGCCACTTGGGGAACGCACTGGCCACCGCGAAGTCTAACACCAACACTGGGAACCAGTTGGCCCGTTAATCACCACGCGTGATGCACGTTAAACAGGCCACGGCCCGCCTGCTGGTGAGCAAGCAGGTAACACACAAGGGGCAATTATCGTTACTTGTTGTTGTCATAAGTCTGCAGTAATGACTGTATCCTATAAGTACTGCAACTTCCTGTGCATACATCACCTGCTTCTACTACTGTTTTCTGCTGATATGTCTGATGAATAATCCGCGAAGGATGTCCAAATATCAGGCAAATAAAAGTGTTGTCCCAGTGATAAATTCTTTTTCTTCTCAATGTGGAAGATTTCGTTCAGAATAGCAGGCCTTTTACGTATACTGATGATTTGAAATTTCGCTGTCGATACAAGCAGGCAATCTACAACCACGTGCTCGAACTCTTAACTAAAGATCTTCAGACCTCCTAGTAATGTTGCAAAGGTGCCTTTCCCATTCTTGATATAAATTCGTCCTTATGGTTCGTGGCGACAATCATAAGCCTCAACTAAGTATGTACGGTCGCGAGCTAACGGTGTCCTGATTTACTAAGCATCCGGGTATATTATATTCCAAGCGTCTTGAATTTTTCATACAATTGCACTCTAATTGCCTCCTAAACACGCAGAACTACCTAGGTTACCCTCCGCTATTTTAAAGCTAGACAGAATTCGATCACATTGTTTTCAATCATAAGTTTGTTCTTTGTCCTGGCAAACTCTGGAACTGCGTATTAGGTGTAAATGTTTCGT